GGGGGCTGGGTGGATTCTGGGTTCTCCTTGGGGGCTGGGTGGATTCTGGGTTCTCCTGGGGGACTGGGTCGATTCTGGATTCTCCTTGGGCCTTGAACAGTTGCTTCTTTTTACCTGTCTTCTCAACTCTGTGCCTTAAACCAACTTAGCAGACAAAGAAAACAAAGAAAATTGTATGTGCTTCCTACCCTGGGACTTCTTAATTGTTTGTGGAATTCTGGAAAATTCACCAGCAAGGCTGTTCCCTCTAATTTCGTGGCTCAGAAACTGTTTTTAGGCTTTGCATCTCCTTGACATTGAAAGCTTGCCAATCTCTAACTTCTGTGATCTTTGATTCACTGCTTAAAATAGGTCCTGGGCATCAGTTTGGATCAGCTGCCAAATTGGAAAGTCCTGTTCTCAGACACAGCAGTGATTGTGATGCGGCAGGCTGCTCTCACTGGGATCCACCTTGTGATTCTCATTTGGGTCTAATCATCTTTCTTTTTTTAATTTCCTTGTTATTAAGTTGCTTGTTTGAATGGACATGTGGGTAATCTGTGTGTGTGCGTGTGCATGTGAAGTCAGGCCAGGGGAAGTCAGGCCCACACACATGAACAAGGCCTGCCCACTGGTCTCTGGAGCTGTTCCGAGGATTCAGAGCATTTCTTCACTGCTGCCCTCAAGGCCCTTCCTCGCAGAGAGCAGAAGGCAGGGGCTGCCACTGGCCATGGCTGAGACTGAGCATTCTTTCAAGGGTGGTAAATCAAGGGGGTGGGCACAGGTGACATGAGCCCGAGCATCCCCGAGGCTCAGTCTATTCCGTCTTCAGATTTGGATTCACTGTCTGTGGTTTAGAAACGATACTGTACGAGGTTAAAAACAAAACAAACAAATAAAAAGCCTGATTTTCAATTTTCAGAATGAAGAAGAGTGCCTGGTTGCTTTTTTTTCTTCGGTGGGGGAGACGAATTTTAGCTTCTGTGAGCATGGTGTGTGGCTGGAGCCTCTAGTGCCTTAGAACCCCATGAGAACACGGATGCTGTGGAGGAAAACTGCAGGAAGGGAACACAGGAACAGACACAGCTGGGATGTAGCAGAGGCGGGATTAGGAGTGACTTCGTCCCAGGACCCCGATGCTGCTTTCATAGCCACTGGGGTTGGGGTTGAAGTTTTGTTGTTAACCTGCTGTAAGGGCAGAAACCCGGTCGGCCCAGTGACCTCGAAGCCACACAGGAGCCTCCCCTGTCAGAGGCTGTCTTCAGAGGCGGCCTTGGGGAGTGGCTCACGTTCTCACTCATCCTCATTCTCCGCTTTCTCCTGACCCCCAAGCTTTCTTCAATCAATCTGAAAGGGGCAAATAGGAAGCTCTGCAGGACACGGCCCCTCAAAGACCGCACATCCTGCAAATTCCCTGGGGGCTGCTCGGGGAGGGCACAGTGAGGCCCCCGGGAATCAGCCCAGCCTCTGTGCCTCAGGTCCTGGACCTGGGCGGGCGAGTCCAGGTGCCTGGAGCCAGAATCTGCCCCAGCCCTTCACGAAGCCACATCTCAGGGGGCCACTCAGGGCGGGGTGCCTGCTCCAGCTGCAGAGCCCCCCTGCAGGACGGGCTGTGCGCAGACCGTCCTTACCTCTGGGGCGGGCATGAGAGTCGAGAGGCAGGAGCTTGTGGGGTGGCAGCTGTGGACCCCGAGCTGAAGCATGCACCTCTCCCAGCCACACGTGGGGCCCCCATGGCCTCCCTTCAGCCTCTTCACAGGAAGCACAAAGATGGACTGGGCCAGGGAGGGGAGTTGACTTGAATAGGGCATTTCAAACTGCCAGTCACTACTGGGCCGAGGTTTAAGGAATGACTCTGGAAAAGACAGGGTGGGGAAGGGCAGTGAGACCCTCCCAGCGGGAGGAGGCCCAGAGCAGCACTCCCTGAGTGTCTCTTCACGACAGGGATACACGCTGAGAAGGGCCTGTCCAGGTGATTTCACTGTGCGGGCCTCACAGTGACGTGCACATGCCCAGGTGGCCCGGCCTCCTCACAGTGAGGCCGCGTGGTGCAGCCAGGGCTCCTGTGCCACAGATCTGCGTGCAGGCTCCCATACCGAACACCGCGGGTGGCTGCAACACAGTATGTGTATGCAGTGTGTGGTGTATGTGTGCATCTAAACACAGCTAGCACGGGAGGGGACAGTGAGAACACTGCTGCAATCCTGTGGGACCAGCCGGGCTGACCAAAGCTTTGTGCTGTGGTGCGCGACTGTATTTCCACCGCGTCACAGACGTCAGTGACCCCAGAGTGTGGGTTTGTGTAATTTCATAAGCTCTATAAACCTATGGAATTGAGTTTTTAGTCATGGCTCTCTTTAACAACCAGCTTGCAAAATTCCTGAACACATAATGATTGGTCCTCACGAGCCAGCACTTCCAGCACAGCCGCTGCTCACACCATCTGGTTGAGGGGTCGGACACTCATTTAGAAGCTCAGTTCACTAGGCTAGTCTAAGAAGCTAGAGCAGAGTGTAAAACACCAGGATGCAGCCTGTCTAGTTGGGATAAACGTTGTTTCATGAAATTTTTGCATGTGTGTATTGGGCCCTGGGCTGAGGTGTTTTCGCTTTTGTGGGTCTTTCAATAGGTTGGACACATTTAGCTCCTTTTACACCTGGGGCTGGTTGGCTTGGAGAGCAGTGGGGCGCCAGCCGGCTGCCCGACAGCCATGCCTCCCATAGGGTGGAGAGAGCCTGTCTGCAAAAAGCCTGCTTGCTTCCTGAGGGGCAGACACAGTGCCCTGAGAGGGAGAAGGTTCTGGAACAGGGGCCCTAGAGGAAAGCCTGCAGCAGGAGCCAGGGTCACGGCGTGGAGCAGCTGCCCTCCACCCATCTCGGAGCCGCTGTGAGGCTTCCTGCAGTCAAACCGCGAGGACAACACTGCGCCCACAAGACCTTGAGGTTTCTCCCAGCCTCAAGCTTCCTCTCATGACAACAAGGCACCCATACCCACTCAGGGCAGGGCTGGTAAACACGAGGTCACACCCTTCCTGTGAGGGAGGTTTGAGTTCCCACAGTGGAGGCCTTGGGCAGGTGGGGGCTGTGGCAGGAGCAGGACGGGGCCGGGGTGCTGGTGTCCACTGCCACATCATCCTCTTGCTTTAAACAGTTCTCTTTTGAGATGATTGCAGATTCACACAGTCATAAGGAATGATGCAGAGAACCTGGGCCCTTCACCCAGACCCCCCACAGCAGCATCTGGCAAAGCAGGGAGCGGTCACCAATGGGATCCAGTGCTCTGCGGGGATGGCACCAGCTGCACCTGCACTCGTGTGTGTGTGTGTGTGTGTCAGTATGTGTATGTGTGCGTGTGTGGATGTGTGCGTGTGTGTGCTTCTGTGTGAGTGTGGGCATGTGTGTGAGTGCGTGTAAGGGAGTGTGTATGCATGTGTGTGTGCTTGTGGGTATATGTGAAGGGGGTGTGTGTACAAGTGTGTGAGGGAGTGTGTGTGTGAGCATGTACATGTGTGTGTGCTTGCATGTGTGGGTGAGGGAGGGAGTATGTGTGAATGGCGGTGTGCTTGTGTGTGTGCATGTGTGTGAATAAGTGTGTGCTTGCATGTGTGAGGGTGTGTATATGTGTGTGTGCATGTGTGTGAAGAAGTGTATGTGTGCACGTGTGCTTGCGTGTGTGAATGTGTGTGAGTGTGCGCTTGCATGTGTGAGGGAGGGTGTGTATGTGTACATGTGTGTGCTTGTGTGTGTGTGTGTGCTTGCATGTGGTGTGAGGAGAGGGAGTGTGTGTGTACATGTGTGTGCTTGTGTGTGAATGTGTGTGTGCTTGCATGTGTGAGGGAGTGTGTGTGAGGAAGGGTGTGTATGTGTACATGTGTGTGTGCTTGTTTGTGAGGAGTGTGTGCACATGTGTCTGAGGGAGTGTGCTTGTGTGTATGAGTGTGTGTGTGTGGGAGTGTGTGCACATGTGTGTGAGGGAGTGTGCTTGTGTGTATGAGTGTGTGAAGGAGTGTGCGTGTGTGGGTTTGCTTGTGTGAGTGTGTGCGCACATGAGTGTGAGTTTGTCTAGGGCTGGGCAGTTGTGTCCCCTGTGCAGATCCCTGTGCAGAGGCCGGACATTTCCATCCCACAAGCATCTCTCCTGCCCCTTTTCCAGCCGCAGCCCCCTCCCGCCGCCTCCCCGACCCCTGACCCCCAATCACTGACAACCACTGACCTGTTTTCTGTTTCTGTGCCTTTGTCATCTTGAGGTCGTCTCCCGTCACTCAGCCCAGGTCCCCTGAGGCTCGCCTGCGACGCTGCACCCGCTGGCGTCTGCTTTCCACGCGGCCTTCACCTGCTGAGGACCGGCTGAAGGTTGCCTCCAGTGTTTTGCTCTCACAAATGCATCTGCAGTGAGCATTTGTGTTTTCATGCATTGCACATTTTGAAGGTATTTTCCTCCTGCTAAGGGAGGCAGCCCCCAGCATGAATGTGCCTGTGAAGGGCGGGAGGTCCAAGGCCACCTCCCCGCCCCCGGGCCAAGCTCCCTTCAGGCCTTCGGGGCACAGGACAGGGAGAGAGGGAGTTGGGATGGTCCTAATCTACAGCCTTCCTTGTGGGTGGGAGAAGGCTGAGCGTCCTGCGGGGGCTCCCCCACAGATTCTCGGCCCAGGGCCCCAGGGATGATGCCATGCCTTGGCTTCTGTTCTGTGGCCCTGCTGTGGTTTATGTCGGCACAAGAGTTAGATCTGCAGATCCACCAGGGGCTCCACGCAGTGTGCAGTGGCAGGGGGATGGCAGAAAGGAAAAACGCCCACCCGTGCTCTCGGGAAAAATCACCGAGAGAAAAGCTACCTCTAGCTGCCTGTTTCTTGTCTGCCAGACACAGGACACCCACCACAGGCAACTCAGCCCTGGCACAGCCCTGCAGTTTACAGATGATGAAATTGGGAGACCATCTGGGGAGGTGAGTTAGGTTCACAGGAAACTTTGAAGAAATGAAAGGTAATTTGTGCAGCGACGCACTATCCTGGGTATAATAAAAGCAGCCGTGGTCACCGTCACAGTCAAGGCGCCAGGGATTTGTGGGCCGAGTGGCACTCACAGCATTCGTCCACGGCTTCTGCAGGGGGCCCTGAGTGGCTCCCTCTGCCCTCCCATCTCCGCCCTGCACAATGTGGTGGTGAATTTCCTGCCCCACCCCTCCCTGAAGCTGGGACGTTGGTGACTGAGCTTGTGAGGCTCCAGGGTACCTAGGATGGGCCACTCGGAGAGACGGGCAGCTCTCCTCAGCCAGGCAGGAGGCTTTCAGTGCTCTGTGCGGTGCCGCCACCGTGTCCACACCCACTGCTGCCCGCATCGAGGGCTCCCTTTGGTGGCTCTTTCCGGCCTCACCTTTCCGCCCTGAACCAGCCCTGGGCAGGGGAAGGCTGCAGAAAGACACGCTCTCCAGCGGGTGGGCGGTGTGAGCTCGATCTCAGGGCCGCGCTCTCTTTCTCTGTTATCCCAGAGGGCCTGGCAGGTGGACACGGCCCAGGTGCTCAATGAGCTTTGTTCAATAATAAGCTGCTTAACAGGGCAAATATTCAGATACATGCACTACTGCTGCATAAAACTGTGTGCGAATATGGATAAAACCTTGAAGGAGAAACGATACTGAGTCACAGCAGGGGACATGAGGGCACAGGTTTGCCTTTTTAATGTTTTTCATTATGTAGAGTGCTTCAATCTAACGTTTCGCAGACGGAGCAGCTCTTAGTCTGTCAATGGAATCCATTTCAAGAGCAGTGTGAGGCTTTTGCTGCATTCTCTGCTGGGTCTCCAGTGATGGCCCCTCGGGTCAGATGCAGGACACCCCACAGCTCCAGGCTGTCTGTGCTCCCTCAGAGGCTCTGCTGTGGGAGCTGCAGTGTCAGAATAGGGCCTTGACAGTAAATTCCCATCCCAAATCATGTTGACCAGGCACCCCTCTCCTTTTAGACTTCGGGCAAAGATTTGAAGCCTAGTTAATTGCTTACTTCAGGGGTGTCCCCTAAAAGCAACGGAATGTTTGGCAAATTAGGGTAAAAGATAAGTTAACTTTATTATGACAAAAAATGGTCATTTTGATAGAATGGATTTTATAATTAGCATCGAGGCATTACACAAATCCATTCAACAGGTGAATGCATTTAAATACATGGAGTTCTATTTTACTATTAGCTCAGATTGACATTGTAATTAATCAAATAAAATCCCATATAAACTCAATTAAGGTTTGGTATTAGTGAGGATAGCTAGGCTTGGGCTATGCCAATGATTCCCAAATTTTATTGGCTTTACACAGCACAAGTTTATATGTCACTTACACAAAGACACTGGCAGACCCAGCTGCCCTCAAGGGGACGTCTGCAGACCCAGCCACCTTCCAGGACAGCTCTCGTCTGTGACACTTGCAGACCCAGCCCGGCCACCCTCCAGGACGGCAGCTGTCTGCTTGGTGACTCGGCGGTCTAGGCTGCATCTTTCCTCTCTGTGCATTTCAAGAAGACGAGAACGAGACCATGATGCTCCATTTCCAATCCGGACGACCACTGCTTAATGTGGGACATTGCTTTATTTTATAAGTTCAAAAGGCCATCCTAGCAACACGGAGCACCTCCCAGGTGCTAAACTCTGTGTCATGGTCAAATGTGCCCATGTCAATGAACTCTAACAGCATCAAACTCTACCTTCTGCCTCCCCTGAATCCAGCGTTCTTTGGATCCAGTTCTGCATTTACCCCTGGATCATGCTGCTGCATACCTTTTGGTTCTGAAGCTCCTTGGCTGAGTGTCTCTTCCTCCATTTTCAGCCACAGCGCTTCTCCAGCTTGGTGATGCTGACCTGGGGGAATGGAGCTGGAGGTGGTAGCAGGCATGTCCGTACCATCTTGCAGAGGTCTCTGCAGCGTCTTCAAGCACACAAACAGCATTTTCCCTTAAGAGGAGAAATGTGACACCTCTTCAGCCCAGCAGATTTACAGGAATCTGGGATTCAAGATTTTTGAGTGCATTCATTCAGATGGCCCCATCCCAAGTTTCAGGGCCTCCCTTCTTCCCAGCCAGGGTCCAGACCTTGGAACAGCGCCTTCCGAGTCCGAGCACCCAGCCCTGGAACAGCGCCTTCCGAGTCCGAGCACCCGGCCCTGGAACGGCGCCTTCCCAGTCTGAGCACACGGCCCTGCAATAGCGCCTTCTGAAACTGAGTACACAGCTCTGGAACAGCACCTTCTGAGGCTGAGCACCTGGCATTCTCTGAAGCTCTGTCTTCAGTTAAATCCTAGCTCTGATCAGTTTTTTGGTTCTCCTCTGGCCACAGGAGATGAGTGTCTTATGTGATGAATGTCTTACACAGGAGATGAGTGTCTTATGTGCCACCGACGAGGCTGGTTAATGTGCCACCCTTTTGTTTCAGGTGGTGATCTTCTCATTATCTTGCCCTCAGCAGGAGCCACCTGATTCCATAGTCCATGGGTCTGCGACTTTCCCAAACTCTCCAGCACCCGAGATGCTGCAGCTGCCAGTGCATTTCCTTCCAAGGGGCTCCCGTCCCGGCTGCCACCGCTGCAGCCTGGAGATTCACTGCTGGCCCCAGCTGGCCCCTGGAAACAGACACCGAAGTGGAGATGTGGGTTGAGCTTATCCGCAGGCCTGTGAGGGTGGAGGGGCGACAGAGAAGCAGCTCTGTGGCTGGGCTACCACAGAGGACTCTGCTGAACTCTGCGTAACACAGGAGCTGGGTTGCTTCCAGAGTGGCCCAAGGGGAAGCATGGTCTCTGTCGTAAAGTAGGATTGTGGATGGCACCCAGAGCACCCACTGCAGATGCCACCCAGGGCCAGTGCTAGACATGGAGGCTCAGGGTTGGAACCAGGGGTGTCACCTTAACTCCTGTTCAGCCCTGGCGAGCACCAGGCATGCAGGGGCTGAGGACAGGAGAGGCCTATGTGGCTGCAGGCTCCCAGCAGTCAGGGGAAGAAAGGCCATTAATTATTTCAGCACATGGAACCACTTTTTAGAAAGTGAAGAGAAAGCAGTGGGTAAAAATAGGCCTCTATCTTCATGAAGCTCCTGTTCCTCTCTACGCAGTATGTGTGTGTGTGTTTGTGTATGTGGATTCATGTAGGTGTGTGTATGTGTGTGTGTACGTGTATGTGTGTGTATGCGTGTTTGTGTAGTATGTGTGTGGTATGTCTGTGTGGTGTGTGTATGTATATTTGTATGTGTGATGGATGTATGTGTGCATGTATTGTGATGTATGTATGTGTGTGTGTTGTGTGGTGTATGTATGTATATCTGTGTGTATATGTGTGGTGTGTGTATGTGTGGTCTATGTATACGTGGTGTGAGTATGTATGTGTGTTCATCTATATGTGTATGTATGTGTATATGTAGCGTATATGTGGTGGATGTATGTGTGTGTGTGGTATATGTATGTGTGTGTGAATGTATGTGTAGTGTGTGTATGTATGTGTGTGTGTGTGTATGTATATATGTATAGGGCATATGTGTGGCACTGGGTGCAATGAAGTTTTGTGAGGTAGAGGAAGGAGTGCAGAGTCTCAGTCTGTACACACACCTAAAAGAGCACACATGTACAAACACATTCCTCAGAGAGGTCAGGGAGGAGGAGACATCAAGACAGAAGAAAGGGAGGGTAGGGCAGCACCTGCCCATGCTGGGGTCTGCAGGGGGTCGGGGGGACCTGCCCATGCTGGGGTCCGCAGGGGGTTGGGGGGACCTGCCCATGCTGGGGTCCGCAGGGGTGCTGGGGGGGACTTGCCCACGCTGGGGTCCACAGGAGTGCTATGGGGGACTTGCCCATGCTGGGGTCTGCAGGTGTGCTGGGGGGGTCACCTGACCATGCCGGCTTCTGTGAGGGGTGGCTGTGTGTGTTTCCCCGCCCCCACCGTGGGTCTGCAGCAGGTGCCTTCGGGTCGCGTCCCCGGAGTTGAGGCTGGGCGGGGGATTCCTCTCCTGCCAGGTCCTCATGCGTGAACTTTTCTTTGCCAAGTTCGTCTGCGAGTGAATCGCTCAGCCTCGGTCAGCGGGCCCGGGCAGGGCCGGGACCTCCCTTCGTCTCCTCCGCCAGGAGCCCGCGGGGGTCCCCTCCGCTCAGCGGCCCCTCCACGGGGCGGGGGCGGGGCCGAGGCCTCCGGGAAGCCGCTCCCTGCGCCCCCCGGTCCCCTCCGCCGCCCGCCCGCCCCGCCCGCCCCGCCCTGCCGGGCTCGGGCCAGTGGGGAGCGGGGCCGGGCCGCGGGCGGAGCCTCCTGGTCCCCGCCCTCGCCCTCGGCCAACGGGCGGCCGTGCGGGCGGGCGGACCCTCGGCCGCGCTCGGGGCTCCGGCGCCGCTCCTGCTGCTCGGCCCGCGCTGCCCGGCTCGGCGCGCGCTTCGGGGCGAGGCTCGGCGGGCGCGGCGCGCAGCATGGCGGTGGAGGACGAGGGGCTCCGGGTCTTCCAGAGCGTGAAGATCAAGATCGGTGAGTGTCCGCCGGCAGCGCCGCCCCCGACCCCGTCCCCTCCCCGGATCCTTCCCGCGGACCCCGGCGGAGACGCCCTCCAGGCGCGGCGCGTTCCCCGCAGACCAGCAGGTCCGGCCCCTCCCGGGCTCCCCGCGTCCCCCGGGCTCGGGCTGGGTCGAGCGGCCCCGGGGGACGCGGTTCCCTGCGCCCGGAGCGGCCCGGGTCCCTCCCTGGCAGCGGCGGAGGAGGCGGGGTCCCCGCCGGAGGGGGCGTCTGTCCGCGTGTTTGCGGGGGCGCGCGCCGGGGGCTGCCGGGCGCCGGCACTTCAGGTGTCAGCTCCGCTGGCGTCCGGGGTTGCCTTTCCCGCTGCGCCCAGAAACTTCCTTTCGGGGAATGTGGAGGCTCCTTCACGCCTCTCCCCAGGGGTGGGCTTGGGCGCGCTGCTGCTGCTGCTGCTGTGCGCGCGACTGTGCCTGTGTGCGCGCGTGTGTTTGTGGGTGCGTGTGTGCACGTGCGTGTATTTGTGTGCGCACGTGTGTGTGTATGTGTTCGTGTGTGTGTCCGTGTGTGTGTGCATGTGTTTGTGGGTGTGTGCATGTGTGTGTGCGTTTGTGGGTGTGTGTACATGTGCGTGTGCATGTGTTTGTGGGCGTGCGTGCATGTGTGTACATGTGTTCGTGTGTGTGTGCATGTGTGTGTACATGTGTTTGTGTGTGTGCATGTGTGTGCATGTGTTTGTGGGGGTGTGTGCATGTGTGTGTGGGCATGTGTGTGTACATGTGTTTGTGGGTGTGTGTGAGTACATGTGCGCGCTCCTGTGTGCTGGTGGGGCGCCCTGGCTGAGGGGTCTCGCGGGGCGGGGAGACACCGGGCCCACCCGCACCGGCCCCTTCCACTGAGAACTGTCGGGCGAGCTGGTGGCCGCCAGGGCCTCCGAGGCTGCGGTTTTTCTCTGGGCTTCAGCAGCTTCTGAAGTGGGCTCTGGGAGGCGTTTCCGGAGAGGGGGCTGTGCCTGGACTTCTGTTTTATCTGGAGGGATCTGCGTTTCCCTGGTGGTTTTATATCGGGAGAGTGATGTGGAACTCCTCCTCCTCCCCCAGAGCAAGACCGTTTCCTGCAGTGACGGATCCGTTTTCACGCCATGAATGTGCTGGACCGCGGGCCGTTCAGGCTGGAGAGGCTGCCAGGGCCGAGCGCCGGGTCCTCACGGTCCTTCCCCCACCGAGCCGGCCTCTTCCGTGTGAGCAGGCCTGGGGACAGGCCGAGTGTCAGTTGTTGATGACATTTGATGCTGCCGGAGAAATTCCGGCTCCCCTAAATCAGCGGGCTGTTTCCGGTTGGCTTTATTTTGGTTTGCGGAACATCGCTGAGACACTGCCTTGATATTTGGCACAGAAGGCTGCAGCTAGAATGCGGCAGCACTTCCGTCTTGAGTAGTCCGGAGGGGAGGGATTTCTTTTGTCAATGTGGTTTAAATCTGCTGTCACTTTCATACAAGAAAGCCAGGGCTGGCGCTCCTTGAAGTGTCTGAGGTCCCCGTGCTGTGGGCGGGGAAAGGTGTCGGCCTGTGGGGGTCAATTTCCTCCAGCCAAGGCTGCTTGGCTCAGCCAGCGAGTCCGGAGAAGTGTGAGAAGCCCCGGGCTTCCTCACCCCCGGGGCAGGAGGGCTGGAGGTGGGTGCCCCTGTGGGGCGGTGCCAGGGCAGCAGGCAGAAGTGGCCAGGGCTTTGTGGCTCAGGGCTGGGGGGCCCTGGCCACTGTTTACTCCAGGAAGGGTTCTGGTGCTTCAGTCCACGCGAGGACTTTACAGAAGGCATGGGAACTCAAACAGGAGGATGAGGGAAGACCAGAGTCTCAGACCAGATACTCAGACCCTGAGTGTTCCAGAGGGCAGTGCCATCGGCGTGCGGGCAGGCGGAGGTCACCTGGTGGATCCCTCGGAGAGGAGGAGTTCTGGAGGCTCTGAGCTCCACTTAAACAAGCCTGTGAAACCCTGGCTCAGCTGAGGCTTACGCTGCTAATACCATGTGGGGCCTGGATATTATTTGAACCTCTGACCCTCCCGGGGGCATCAGCAGTGAGGATGGGTAGAGAGGCTGGAGTGCCAGCTGCCTGACTCCCTGGATGTCTTTCCAGCGAGGAGAAGCTCCATTTCCTCTCCCCTCCAGAGGCCACCTGCAGGGCCGGCTGCCTGGGGGCTATCTGTGCCCCAAGTAGGTAGGGGCGTGCTGCTGCCTCCTGAGATGCAGTCTGGCTGGAGACCCCGAGGGTGACCTGTGGGTGCTCTGGTTTGGGGTTAGTCTCATGTAACTGTGCTGCCGGCCTGACACCCTGGGGCTCAGGGTGACCCTGAGTGGCGCAGGTGCTGGGGTCCACTCAGCTCCTCAGTTTCTTTCTTTAATCCGAATTCATGGCCAACCTTGGCTCTGACTTGCCCTGCCTGAGTCCCTGGCCTTGAAGGTGCAGAGAAGTCGGTGCCCCTGTGGTTGATCTCAGGGCCCCTCATGGTCATTCACCTCCGAGCCTCATCCCCAGGCATGCTGGATTTTCGCCAGTGACTCTGTGTGACCCAGGGCCAGTGTCTTCCCCTTCATAACCTCATTTTCCACTTGCAGAAGGCAGGCAATGATTGTCTGCTGTATCCGGTGAGAACTTACAAGGCAGTGCCATCTGGGCTTAAGTTAGCACCCTGCCCTCAAGTTATACCAGAAGCAATTCTAGTAGTACTGTTACCAAGAAGCGAAGGCAGAATGTCTTTGCAGGGATTGGGAGCTTTTTCAAAGGTATAGGGGCATTGGCCTTTTAAATTCCCAAATAGCTTTGAAGCGTGTGGTGGTCTGTGGTCTGGTTCAGACGCTGAAATTGGGAAAATCCCTCTCCCCTTCCTCTTTCTTTGTCCCTCCACCTTTTGCAAGTGAGGTAAGAAGAGGGAGCACCACGCAGAAGTGAGGTGTTTTCATGGGAACACTTTGGAGTCTGTCTGGAAGAATCTTTCTGCACTTCAGTTTTGTAGAATCGTTGTGGATCTGTCGTTCTGTGCACTCACCTTAAACACTGTGTGTCTGGTAGCAGTCATTACCTTTGACAGCAGAGTCTGTGTATCATGCATGGCTGAGCCACACTTCCTATGCCATCGGCTCTGAGGAAGCCAGTGCTTCTGACTTTCTGTGAGTCAGGGACCCACAGGGCACTTCCACCATGACCCCGGGTTGTTTTGGGGCCCCGCCCCCGAGGTGCACGGTGCTTCCTCCCCTCCCAGCAATGCTTTCCGTTTCCACAGTACTTACTGCTTGTTTTTAAACGTGGCACCTCATCGTGATGCACGTGCTCAATAAAGAGCAACACACAAGGAGTTTCTCTCAATCTCTTAGAAAAAAGCTGCCCTGCGACCCAGTACGGGAAAGGCCCTTGCACTGCTGCGACCCTGCTGTGGAGCTGGAGGCAGCCATGTCCCTGGAATGCTGCCCCTGGGGGGCCTGGCCTGCCACGTGCTCCGCTGCGGGGCTTCCTGTGGCTCTCTGGTCACTCACTTCTTTCTCCTTTGGACTCAGCACCCCTGGCTCCACAGGGCTCTCAGTCCCTTCCTGTGACGCTGGAGCGTGCCCATGAAGAAGGCCCACGGCCAGTCTGGCCCAACACTGAAGCGTCAGAACCACTGGTGCCTGCAGGCCCACAGGGCACTGTGGGCTGGGGTGGGGGGCGCTGGCCTCCAGCCCAGCCATTCCTCTCCTGAT